CTGTGAGTGGACACCGAAGGGGGGGAGGGGGGGGCAGGGGATTTGAAGGCTTTGAAGAAAAAACGAGGGGTAAATAATCTCTGTGAACGGAGAGAGAGAAAGAGGCTAGGTGCAGGTACCAGGCATATCGCGAAAAACGCGAACCATTTGAGAAAAGTACTAATAATAAAAGATGAAGAATAACTATTTTGACAGCAGTCTCGCGAGAAAGAGTGAGTAATTATACGAAAAACGTATGAACCTGTTCCGACAGTCAGAGAGTAGTGGCATCAATCCCGACTTGGGTCGTATTGTATGCTGGTAGCTGTACTTTTTCTTTGGTAAACCAACTATTTGGTGGATGTGTGTGGAGATCGCTGCGGCGTTCGGCTCAGCTGACTGTATGCGTCTTCTGACGGCGTGGGCTTGGAAGAGAGGGTGCGTCGGGAAACAGAGCACGCTGACCGCGCGCGGTGTGGCTGACTCAAGTTCGGTACAAACTACACAGCCCAGGAAAAAAAAAAATGTTTTGCTGACTATGATGTATCGTTGTATTCGGCAGGAGTGCGTCTGCGACCTGGGGATTCAAGGATGGGATATTTTTCTTTCGCAAAGAAATTTCTCGGAATTTGTTTTTAGCGGTGTGGGATCATCGTGTCCGAGTGATAGGAGGTGTGCATTTTTTTCGGCTGGCCTACAGTGTCTGGTGCTAAGATTGGTCGTGCATTGCAGGAAGGGCACACAGTAACAACGCCGTGAGCTAGGCGGTTGTCTTTTGTCACCTCTGCTGCTGCAGCCCATGTGCGTGCTGTTCTTGGGGTCGGGGGCTTTGTTTGTACCTGTAGTTCTCTTCTTTTTTTTCTTTGGAGTTACGTTGGGATTGGCGTGCTTCTTAGTTTGGTTTGTAGATCGAACGTGATAGTTGTGTCTACGCTATCCGTGGCAATCGCGGAAATATACATCCAGGATTCAAGTCATACGTCGCAGATGTCAAGCTACAGTAGCGTCTTGCTCAGCGAAGGGGGCTGTCGAGCTGTGGGCCGTCGATCGATCGGGTCCTCCTCTGTCTTTCCGTGTGCTAGCTTGAAGAGAGGGAGACTGGACTACGGAAGAGCTCAGGCCAACCTCAGGGCCCAGCGACAAAAACATACGCATATTTAATGAACAAGGTGCAGGAGTCTAGAGCCAGAAAATAGTTTTTTCTGTTGGCAGAGTTGATTTTTGGTGTGCTTGTGTGGGAAAAAAAAAATGTTTTGTCTATCAGGTGACTCAAAAGGGTTCTAGCTTTTGCCTCTCTTGTGCGGCTTAGGGCCGCTGTAGTTGTTATTTTTGTTTTTTGTGGGGTTTGGAGTTATTTTTTGTCGACTAGTGTTGACAGCACCTACTGCACCTCTGCTGGATCAGCCGATCAATGCACGCCGTGGGTGGTTGCACGGACGGGCTCTGCTTAGTCCCAGGGCGGCGGGGTATGTATGTTAATCTTTTATTCGTGTAGGCTGAAGTGGCAATGCAATTAATCGATAAACGAGGCTCCGACAACGACGTCTGGTTGACCAGGACCCCTGATGGCGTTTTCAGTGCGTAGGAGGAGGAGGAGGAGGAGGAGGAGGAGGAGGAGGAGGAGGAGGAGGAGGAGGAGGAGGAGGAGGA